GCTAGCTGGCTAGCTGGCTAGCTAGCTTTCTGTCGCTCGATCTATCTGTCTATCGATCTATCGACCTATCTTTCTGGGATTCGAGCTATCATTCGATCGATCACCTGTCTGTCTACCTATCTGTCCATCCATCTATCCATCTATCTATCTGTATGTGTGGTTATTTATGTAGCTGTTTTTTGATTTGCTCATCTATAGTTTTTGTTCATAACCCTGGTTACTGAGTCGCAGGGTCCTCTAAGTGCGGGTGCACCTACGCAGGTCGAGATCGTCCGGTCGTTGCTCCTGGCACGCTCAGACCCGAACAAGGAGGATCGCTATCGCCAGACCTCCTTGATCAGCGCTGTGCATGTCGGCTGTGTTGAGGCTCGGCCAAGCCTGCAGAGATTAGTTCTGCTTTCTCACAGTTGAGGTCGCTGAATTGCGCACCCCCCCTCCCCCATCCCGAAAACTTTACGATCGTAAAATCCTTCTAGCGTTGAACCACGCTTCCGCTGACGATAACCAGACAAGCAATTTAGAAAGTTGAGGATCCTGGTTGAGGGTCGTCAAAAGCAAGGAACTTGTTTTAAGTATCCCTCCCTGTATCAAAAAACCTTAAACTCTAAACCCCTAAACCCCAGCCCCTAAACCCCTAAATCCCTAAACCCTAAACCCCTAAAAGTCCCATCTTGAAGTGGGAAGGTGGTGCGCTGCCTCCTGGAAGCCGGAGCGGCAAAGGATCGAGCCGATCAACACGGTCATACGCCCCTCTTTATCGCCGCTGGCAAGGGCTACCTCGATGTGGGAGTCTCAGAAAACTTATTTTGGGGTCCTTATGATAAGGATCCTACTATTTAGGGTACTATACTAGGGTCCCCTATTTTCGGAAACCCCCATGTCACTCGGCAAGAGCATCTATCGTCAATACAACAGCCCCCGCAGCAAAACAGAGAGAGGGAGAGAGGGAGAGCGAGAGAGTGAAGCACCACAGCCGCACAGCAAGACTCGTTACCCTTGCTGTTGCTGTTGCTGTTGCTGTTGCCGTTGCTGCTACCGCTGCCACTGCTGCCTCAGGTTGTGAATTGCCTGGTGGCTGCAGAGGCTGACCTGCATCAAGCGGACCGGATTGGCCAGTCGCCCCTCTTTATCGCTGCTGATGTGGGCCACCTGCATGTGGTAAGACATCTGCACCTGGGCAGCGCTTCCCAGAGAACCCAATACCCCTTAAATTAAGGAATATACCTTGAATTTTAGGGGCCTTCGTACTATGATTCAAGATATAGTCCTTAATATTGGGTTCTCTGGGTTACACCGTAGACATACCCTCGAGAAAGCCCTGAACCGGTCACGAAAAGGAGCCCTAAGCCTTTTAGTTTTGGGGTCAGGCGTCAAAAACCCCCAAACCATCCCAAAACCCTGAACCCCAACACTGCACCGAAAAAGGCTTAGTTGGGGTTTCCGCAGCCTCTTGACAGTAAGATGTATTTTGAAACTCGAAAATTGCTTCCTTGTCTCTCTCGCAACCTGCTACCGCAACGTACCCTATACACTATACAGCTACAGACAAGCCTTAAGCCCTTTATCCCTGAAGCCTGAAGACAAATCTCAATTCTGAACCCCCTGAAATCCGGCACCCCAGGCTAAACCCCAGACCGACAGAAAATCCCCAAGCCCTCGAGCCCAAAACTATCCCCCCTAAGCACGACAAACAAACAACGGTCAACAACGCGCCCGCCAAACCCAAAACCCAGAGAGAAGCCCCCAAACCCTAAACCATCCCACAACACTCGACCCGAAACCGCAAACTCAGGCCCCCCTAAACCCTAAACCCCTAAACCCTAAAACCCTACTAAACCCAAACCCTATGGAGCCAAAGGCTCGCGGCCCGATCCCAGCTGGAGCAAAGCTCCGCCGACGGCACTCCGCCCCTCACGGCAGCGGCACGTCGGGGTCAGCTTTCTGTCGTCCGAAGCTTGCCGCTGAGGGTGTTGTGTTGGGTGGCTTTTTGTGCGGGGGTTTTAGTGACTATAGGGCTGTTTCTTGGGGTTTTGGACGGGCTGTTTTTGACTTTTGGGGTTTCGGTGTTGTTCGGAGTTCAAGGAGTATCTGCTTTGGCCCTGAGACTCTATGCGAGGCCTCAACATGCACACTATTTGGGTGCATGGACCCGTAAGGCACTGGGAACGCAGTCAGAGTGTGGTTAAGCATTGTTTGGGTTGAGCATGGGCAGCCACTGTAAGCTACGGTGGTTAAGAAGGGACGACTGTCCAAGTACGTTTCGTTATTAGTTAAAGGGAAGTCTAATCAATCCGCATGTAGATTCTGGGATCCAGGCCTAGGCTTTCTTGCACAGGTTTCGGTATTCTCAGCTTGAGGGGTTCACTCCGACAGCTAAGTTTGGAATTTGTGCAAAGGGTTGTTTTTCTGCATGACGGGTCTTTTCGGGGAGGCCTTAAGGCTTAAGGATGAGAGGACGACACTTTCCATGTGCAGGATCGATGGCATGCAGTAGTGGCCGAGGATATTTGCTGGAGAAGAGGGCGGATGCCAATGCGACGGACATGTCTGGCAAGACACCGCTGTTCTATGCGGATGACTGCGCTGTCGCCAAAAGCTTCTAGGCTTCGTATTGCAAGCACAACGTTCCTGTTTGCTGCAAGTTTCCGAAGGGTGTTGCATCAAAAGACACTGAATGGTTGGTGCAATCACGAGCCGTGGTCTCAATGTTTTGCACGTGGTTAGTTTCCTTTAAGCGACGGTTGCGACCCTTTCACACTTGCACCCAAGGGTATGCAGGTTCATTCGCTGGGCTCTCGTCCAGTGACTTTAGTTTCAGATACCGTAGTACGGAGACCCTATATTTTGCAAAAAGACTACAGACCCTGTTCATGACATTAAAACCCAGTCCTCTAGCCGTTATCATACACTGTACAACATTCATAGAACCCTGTACAAACCCACTTAGAATAGAACCTCAATCTCCGACCCTCTCCCAGACCCAGACGGGAAAGTCAGGTCTGCTGGAGGCGGGCATCAACGGAAAGCTTTCCGGAGCCGCAAGGGCTGCTCCATACCCAACCGCTGCAGTCCACCGCGTGGAGTAGGACGCAGAATATCTTTACCTATCCGTCAGACTCCATTTATATGTGCTGTGCCTGTCCATATGTTTATTCCGTGTCTATCTGCACACACTCCTGCACCTCGAACATTGTGGATGTAAAGACAAGCTGTCCACCGACGTCGTTTGAATTCTGGAGGGTCTTTGTGTCAAAGACCCTGTTCGCTTCATCGCAGCTGCCGGAAAACTTTCGGCTTGAGGTTTTGGGTTTCCCTTTTCCAGCGCTGGCAGTCAGAACCCTTGATCGCCAGTCGTGGCATCGATTCAGCCTGAGTTTCGCTGAGAAAGTTTGTACAAAGCGTCATTGGAGAAACGAGTTCCGGGTTAAGTCAAGGTCATGCAGTGCAGTCGTGCAATTCTGACAAAAGGGCTATGATGACGAGATGTATGTCCTTGGTATAGGCCTTACCCTCGCTTCTTACTTCGCGTGGTGGTGACAGTCAGTAGGGATACAGGTGGTGTGGCCGATGATGGCCGTGGTGAGCATCACAATCACGGTGATTGGTCATGTCGTTTCGACATGACGCTGGTGGTGTGTGGTACGAATCATCATCATCATCATCATCATCATCACCAGCATCATCAGCAGCAGCAGCATCCTCGCCATCACCATCACCATCAGAAGAAACATGTTAACCATCTTCACCACTGTGCTTACAAAGATAACGGCGAGGGTCGAGTCGATGGTAGCAGTTCTGTTGAAGCGCTAATGCCGTCACTGCTGGCGAAGGCAGTGAAGGTGATCATGATGATGTCTCTGTTTGGTCGTGTTGTTGATCTTGGTCAGTCGAACACTAATGCGAAAGATGAGGATGACATTTGTTGGTGATGCGGGCGGCGACGATGGCGATGACGATGATGATGTTGTTGATGATGATGATGATGCACATGATGATCGTAATGGTGATGAGAATGAATTGATGAGCTGCTGGCAGCGGTGGTGTTGGTTGCGAAGTGAGTGTCATCACCATATTTCTGGTGATTGATAGTGTTTGCAGGGACATCAGGGGTGTAATTTACGCTGCCGTTGCATCAGGGTGTTGCTTAATTTCTATTTCTGAGATGCCGACACATACTGACACCACTGAGTGTCTGCTTGCAGTGATTTTAGTGCGCACAAAGTACAGCAGGGGGCTCTGGTCTCGGCTGCAGTCTAGGGTTGGAGGGTTTTCTCACTCCAAGCTGAATTTCACAACTCTCCAAATCCCTAAACCTGAAACCCTAGAATCCCTAAACCCTATAAACACTCTCATCCCTGAGCCCTAAACCTCTAAACCTCTAAACCCTAAACTCCGTAAGGCCTTACACACAGTGTATGCGCTTCGGAGCAAGTCTCGCCTGCGGATGGAGTAAAGAGGCTACTGCATCCAGAAAAAAACGCCCTGTAAGGGGCTATTTAATCCCTAAGCCCTAAACCTCTAATCCTCTAATAAGCCCTTTACACACTAAACCCCGAAACCTCTAAACCCCTAAACCCTAAAACCCTAAACCCTAAACCTCTAAACCCCTAAGCCCTAAACCCTGTAAGGGGGTTTCTGTCTCTGAGGCAGCTCTCCCTCTTCTCGCACGATGCCCCCGCTGAGCCAGTGGACCTGAGCATGCAGCGCGCACCCTTAGGTCCGGGCCTAAAGGGCTTAGGGTTTTAGGGGTTTTAGGGTTTAGGGCTTGAGGGCTTTAGGGTTTAACTAGGGTTTAGGGTTAGGGTTTAGGGGTTTAGGGTTTAGGGGTTTAGGGTTTAAGGGTTTTGGGTTTTGGGGCTTGGGGTTTAGGGTTTAGGGTTTAGGGGTTTAGGGCTTGGGCTCTTTTCGAGTAGATCTTGTCAGGATCTAGGATTGGTTTAAGAAGATTGCGTATTCCGTTATAACTTATAGCAGTCTTCTCAGTGAGGTTGTGTTTGAGTCTGAAGTTTCAAGAGGCGTCTGACAGGGTTGAGCACAGGTGTATAAGCAACCCTAAACCCTATAAACCCTAAACCTTAAAGCCTAAACCCTAAAACCCTATAAACCCTAAACCCTTCTAAGGTTCGCATCATAGACCTGGGATTCTGAGACTCTCAACCCGGTAACTCGTTCATGAGGGTAGTTCTGTGAATTAGGGTCCCTTTTTAGGTCCCCAATATAGTACGGCGCTCGTATGAAAAGGACCCTAAACGGGACCCTGATATAGAGAACTACCCATAAAGGTTGCAAGGGTCCTCCTGAATGTGAGCTGTTTGGCATTCGGCTACTTGACGCTGTTGATCGTTGCGACGGCAAGCGGTCATCATAGCTGCATGCACGACATCATCTCCGCCATCAGGGCCAGCAGCATCACCATTACGACAGAACCCATCAGCATCCTCGTAATCGTCATCATCGTCAGGGTCATCGCCATCTTCAGAAAAAGTTTCTGGGTCTAGACCGAGCCATGGAGCCAGACAGAGAGGGACGTCCCCCCAATCTTCTGGGGGCTTTTGTTTTAGGGATCCCCGAAAAGGGTCCCCTCCAACCCGGGAGTCTCAGACTTTGGGGGCGGAAGGCTTTGAGACCGGGAAGTCCCCCAGTTTCTCTCCTTGTCAGATCTGCCGGACCTGCCGGAGAGTGAGCTGTTACGAGATGACGGCCGGGTCCTAAGGGACCTCGTGAGATTGAATTTTCAGGGGCACGCGAACGCAGACTGGATAGTTCCCTATAGAGATCAGGACGGTGATTGTTTTGTCCTCGTTGCGTTACACTCGATTCCTGGTTTTTCTAGCCAGGCGATCTTGAGCATCCTCGCCCCTCGACTCCGGAAGCCAAGAATTTGAGCCCCGAGAGACCCGTCTGCACTGATAAACCCCGAATCCCGGCCCTACATCCCCAGAGCTCTCGAAAGCACCCAAAACTCGAGCTAAAACCCCAGATCACTAGTCCCTGAAGCCTTAACCCTGCGAAGCGTAAACTCTCAACCCTCAAGCCAAGTCCCCCAGCTTCCACAGAAAAGGTGTGGAGGCTGCGGATGCCCTGCATTCGCAAATCCAGCAGCAGCAGGCCACAGAACGGGAGTTTTGCACACTATACTTGAGAGTTCCATTAAGACTTTGCAAGAAGGATAGAAAGATTTTCTATAAGGATTCGAGGAGAGGGACTTTAGGGTTAAGTGTACAGCATGGTATGCCGTTAGTAGGGGTTCTATATCATGACCTCAGCAACCAAGCATCCTAAAGCGGTCTCCGGGGTTTAGAGGTTTGTGGCTGTGGGTTGAGGAGTGAGTCCTGTATGCGTCTCAGCAGTTAAGTCCTTCCCCAACCTAGAGTCTTCAAGTTACTCTAGCATGGTACTCAAACCTATTGGCAGTGGCCAATAGCTTACTCATGCCTGTCCTGGATGCCACAACTTCACTAGGGTTTAAGGGTAACCTCGACCCTCTCTGTTGGGCCCACAATGAAGGCATACAAGCTCTGCATGAACAGGTACCGGTTTGAGGGCCTTGTAAACCCTAAACCCCAAAACCCCTAACCCCTAAACCCCAAACCCCTAAACCCTAAACCCTTGAGCTCATGAGCTCTTGCAAGGACGCTCCCGACTGGGCTTCCTCTCTGGAGACCCAGCCCGAGGACTTGGCTATACTGGCTCGGGTCTCACCGCAGCGGACTGTGCCCATCATGAATCTGTCAACTGAGACGTATCTTCGCATGTGCGCTTGCGCGTACTTGGTATGCAGAATGTACTAGTTTCGGAGACGGGTATTGGTGAGGATGGACATGACGATGATCATGATGTCGCGGTGGCGACATGTCGCCATTGCAAATGCATGCTGCTGTTCAGAGTCATGAACATGCATGTTCGATGTTCTGTTTGGATTGTAGATTCCGATGTTCGTCCTTCTACAGTGAAAACGGCTTCCCTCACGCACGAAATCGAAAGACTTTTACCCAAAATCAAGCTGGCACTTTTCAGGAGTGTTGACGAAGGCCTGTGCTGATTTCAATCCCCTTGAGGGTCGTGCGCAGTAGCAGTTTGCAGCGATAAGGTCATCGCCAGTGCCGGACGCCAGGAGACAGCTTATGCTTAGGGGTTTAGGGTTTAGG